AAGTTCTGGTTATAAAACCGTATATTTTATAAACAAAAGTTCTGGTTATAAAACCGTATCTCTACTATATTTAAACTTACATTTAGAATCTATCCAATCATATAATTGTTATTATGTTTCTATAGGATTATGAATATCCGAGAAAATATTTTAAAATGGGAAAACGCCAAAAGCGGATAAAGTGTTTTAAACAAAATCAATTTTTTAAAATTAGTATCAAAATACGCGGGAAATCACCGAGTATGACAACAAACAATCTAGCATTTGTTTTTAATCTAAAACCAACATAGTTAACTCAAATAGTCTACAAATCAAGTACCCACATATATCTACAAGTAAAGTGTGTATGTGTGTTATCTTGAACGATACTAACAAAAAAAACAAAAGCCTCGAGCAATGGATAAAGAGATTCACACCTTGCAGATTGATATTGAAAGGATAACTTGTAAGTGAGTGTTGATGAACTAACGCTTATTTTATAGCTCGAGAGTGCTAACAAGCTTATAAACAGACTTTGTGTATCACGAAAGGATAAACGCTTCACTCTATCTCATTTATCCATGGTTAAAGGTTTTAGCTATTTTGAGATAAAAATGTATATAGCAATAATTGTATAGGTAAAGAAAAAGCAGGATTTACACTTTTTAATAGTCCATATATGTTAAGAAATTAACTAAAAAGTTCAGACAACTAATAAAAGTGGAATTATTGCTGGATTCTGGAATTTTTTTTTATCAATTAGGAGCCTGTTTTAACTTTTAACACTCTCTTTAATACAATTGAAATGGCTTTTTATAGAAAAATATATATCTATTGCATTTCCTTCGGTAGAAAAAATGTCAATTTATAGTGAATAAATATTAAAATTAATAAATGTTGTGTAAGGCCTTTTTATTTCTGCTTTCAACTTCGCCTCTTGAATTAGGGAAACAAGTTTGTTTTCTTCTGAATTTTTTTTTTTTTAAAGTTTGTTTTCTTCTGATTTGATAAAACACAAGTTTACATATTTACGTTTCTGATGATTGGGCTTTAAAAATACATTTATATAAGCCCAATAAAATCATAAATGGGCCTGAGTGATAAATAGAATTCTCGTAAAGGAGTGAGTCAGTTGTAAAGGGTAATATAGTAATTATTAAGTTTGGCTTTCTTCTTCTATCAGACGCAACTGTCAGACAAGTCGAGAGGTCTTCTCAAGCTCGTTTTTCAGAATATATCCGTTAAGTGTTTTTCTTTTCCTAAACGGCTAATTTTTTGAATTTTGATTTTTCTAACGGATAGTTTTATTCTATAAATATATCAATTGGTTTTGTTTGCTTCAATTCTTTGGCTAAGTACCAAAAAAAATACAACTTTTATCCTGTTTAATCTCTGTCTCTCTCTGTTTTCGTCTATTTCATGAAACAAGTGATTCGATTTCATCAGAATCGAGAGATTGAACAGAAAGTCAGAGTCTTTAAACGGCGGAAGCAACCGGGAAGCTTGGTCGTAAGTTTCCGATGAGTCCGTGGTTGAGATTGCGAGAATTCGAATCAGAGATCGTCGTTGACGGTGGCGAAGGAGTCTTGTGTGATTGACGGAGACGACAATTCTCTACCGATGAGAAGAAGAGGAAGATGAAACCATACTCAGAATTTCTCGAGAAGGTAAATAATTTTTAAGTTAAGCTATAAAAAGATGCAAAATTTACTGTTTGGTTTAAGAGAAACTTGAAAATTCATTCCTTTTTTTGTAAATTGAAAGTTAAAGATTCTATCTTTTTTGTCGGTTGATTTAGGGTTTTAAACACATCGTCTATATGTTTACCAGTAATTGAACCATAAAGAATCTGTAATTGCATAAAAATATAACAAGAAGATGGATCATGTGTGGTTTAATTGCATAAAAATCTGAGGAGATGGATTGATGTAATTTAGCTATGTCGTATATTGGAATTGTAGAAATTATTTGTAACTTTGTTTGTTTCATGTTCTGAGATTTTGCTTTTGTTTATGATTAGGTGAATAATTTGATTATGATTGGTGGCAAATACCGAGACATGGAGGAGATGGAAGTCTACACAAAATTCATAGTCCAACGAATGTCGGGAAAAACGCCTCATTTTTAAAGCAAGGTGATTTTTTATCTTTAAAATGTTTTCGGATTTTCAAACATTTTTGATTTGTTCGGATTTTATTTATTCGGATTTTCAAACATGTTTTGATTTTTGATTTGTTCGGATTCCAAAAATTTGGATGTTAGGAATACACAATTGTTAAAACTATTCAGAGATGGGATCCCGTCATTGACTCATGTCTTTGATCATTAGAGGTGTCAAATCTGTTCCGTCGAGATAATGTGAATTTAAGCATTCAAATTTTTGATTATTTTTTATCGGATTTTTTTTTTAATTTCGAGATTTATTTAAAGAAATTGGAGTGTTTAAATTTGCGTAATTGCGAAAACAGTTCGGACGTGGAATCCTGTCATTGACTCATGTCTTTGATGGTTAGAGGTACCAAATTCGTTTTGTTAACACAACACAATGTAAGTTTAGCACTCAAATTTCTTTGTTTTTTTGGGTTATTTTTTATTTATCAAATATT